AGGCCGAGATATTACCGCGCAATGCGTCGCCAAATTGTTGTAACGGAGCCCAAGCCAAAATATTCGCCGTCTAACTACGCCTCATGTGAGCCCCCAAAGAGAGGTCACGACAGGAAGAGTGCAGAAGCGGAAGTCTTTGAGTGTTCTATGTACAACAAATTTAGGGAAACAAACGTATGTCAAAGATGTCCCTTGAGCCAATAAGATTCTCTCCTGAGGTAGTGGCCGGTCCCATTAGCTGTTGGCTCAGTGAGTGAATGTAGCTAGAAATTCAAATGATCGATTAATTGTCTAGCTCGAAGTGTTAGCTCCTGCATAGGCTGATCGATAGCCTATTGTGGACGCGGCTATGGTTTGCAAACTACTGCTTGCGAAGGCTGTTGTGAGGCCGCCCTAATAATATCCGAGGCTCGAACCTGCACCACTTTTCGTTGGCTTTACCGGCAATACTATCTCATAACCGTTTCGATATCTGAGATTTTGGAATGCCTACTCTGGCCCGCCTTAAAGCTTCATAATGCACAATAAGGCGAACAACTTTGGGGTCAACCAGTCTACTAATTTCTCCTCCTCTTCCTCCTTCTTCGCTTGCTGTAAATAATGCCTAAGATTTGCCAGACGTAGGGGCGGAGGCAGGCCTGATTCAAACCAACTAGTCGCCTATCTCTTAATGTCTTCTCAGCTAAATTGTAAGGTCTAAAGCGGGGGTCGGCAACCTTTTTAACTCAGAGAGCTAAGAAAGCAAATATTTGGAAATATATTTCCGAAAGAGCCATATAGTATATTTTAAAATGATTTCTCCCGATGATTGTAATGATCCGAGTACAACCCACTACTTAGACCCCTAAAGAGTAACCAAAATTATAAAATCTGAAGTTTCTGGAAAAGCCATACGCGATCATCAAAAGAGCCATATATGGCTCGCGAGCCATGGGTTGCCGACCCCGGGTCTAAGGTGTGGTTTCGTTTTGGGTTTGTGCGGCCACAGCCATTTAGCAGCCGTTTAGTTTTTGTACAGGTTGACCTCATTATGTTAGTCTGCAGTGACTGTAATGAAAGTGACAGTCCGTTCGTGATATGGGATAGACAACACCCGGGTTCTTAATACACCTAGAGCGAATGAGGAATAGGATGCCGAGCTTTACTTCAATATACACTTTGTTTGGCTACTTACAATTATTAAGTACACAGTATTTATGGCAGTAATTAGTAAGAGGTAAACAGACCTGCAATGCCACATGGGCAAGCGAAGTACGCAGACGGGGTGATCGATGTCGGGTCATTCGTATTATCAGTTTTGTCAATTCTGATTGCACCTGCCAGGCATCGACCTCCTCCCTGCTATACGACTCTAGGCGTTTCTGAATGGTGGAGATAAGTACGAGGGCATCCTCGACTCCCACATCGACAGGCCCCCGAGCTTCTGCCTCATACTCCCTCGCTAGTTCACCATCCACTTCTGCACTCGACGAGGGACCCATAGTAGTAACAGTTGACGGGATACCTGCACGTGTTGGAGGTTTCGCCTGCGGTTGAAAATCGAGACTCAGGCTAACCGCAGAGAGGGAGTGTATAAGACGCCAGAGCTCGATACTTCGAGAGGAAACCTTCGAAGGAGGAGTCTCTGTATCCTTTGTGATTGAGGAAGGCGTAAGCTTGAAATTTAAAAAAAAGATTGAATCGGTCATTCAACAAAACTATTTCATAAGGGGATAAAGTGACAAATTCTATACAACTGCTTCTTTGGAAAACAATGACTAAAACATATCCCAAATTAGATCGTCTTGAGTGGAACGTTCACACAAATCTCAGAAGCTAGAGGGCAACTTTTTTCTAACTCATATTCTGATATAGCATTCTGCTTACTAGGAAAGAAACCAACCTCGGAAGCTGAATTCGAAGTATTGAGCGACGTTTGTTCGGTCAGTTTTTCGGTGAGATGCTTTCGTGCTGTTCCACGTCGTTTGTGTGACAGGTTCTTCGAGTGGCTTTTCAAAGTAAGCGGAGTGAGGAGAGGGGGTCCGAGGCGACTCCCAGGAAGCTCCAGCACATCAAAGGCCTTTGGCGTTGATTTTAGGACGGAGGGAGTAACCTTGGCATGCATGCTGACAAGAAGATGACAAGAAGATTATGTTAATCAACAGGACCAAAGAAGTTGCGACAAGCAAATGCGCTGGTGCTGTGGAGTATGAAACCTCTGAATTATATTCACTTAGAGTGTTTACTCATTTTATTTAGGTAAGTGAAATTGTTTTGTTAAATAACGATCAGGACCACTTGCGTACATCGAATATAAGGCTTATTGGCGATTATAAGTTTACTGGACAAGACTGGCCGCGTGAATACAACCATAACTGTACTGGGACAATAGGCTATTGAAATCTTCCGCACTCAGGGCGAATTTGCTTACTGTCCCTCGAGTGACCCTTCCTCCCCGTACCTTTTCGTCTAGTAACTTGTTTTTTTGTAGGATATACTATTATTACACAAGTGCTGCCTAAAATTCCAGACACGTGCTTTGCCGATATTTTGCCGCCGGACGACACAACCATGAGAGTTCAACTCAATTAATAAATACAATCCATTTATGTGATTGGTTTTGGTTGCGTGTCAAGTATTTGTGGTTTCAATAAAGGAGCAACACTGACGTGCAATAGAGAAGCGCTTAACGGGCCATTAGTTACGAGTTCTTATAGGCAATTAATCCGAGTTCGATCGAGGGAAAAGGCACCCTCCTCACAGGAGAGGTCGCTCTGATCTACATTTAATCCACGGTTAAGGTTAGGTCACAGGACGTGATACCTCCAATGGAATTTAGCACAGGATTACCTATAATAGAGGGAGGTACCTCGTTCTACCTAGTCCACCTGGTTGCGGAAGGTCCATTTTCGGTTTACCTCCAGTAGTCACCCCAGTGACCTAATATACTAAAATAAAGATGAAATGTACCCAGACTTAATATGATGCTCCTCTCCGTAAATGCGCTGCTCTACCTCAGAGAAGTATTTTTCATTACCAATGCCGATTTAGTCATGCAGGGACCGGCCAATTCACTGCTAATAGAAGCAACCAGGCCTGAGATTCTGGATCCACGCTCGAGCCCATCATCAGAGACAAACTTATAAGTAGTTGTCTCTGGTGACGGGTTTCAGTGACAGTCCGGAACGTCAGACCAATAAAAGCTTTGGTCTAGTGATGGCATCTTTATCCCTTGAACAGCCAACTCGCCGATATTGGAGATACTTTGAACAGGAAATAAATCAGGGCCAATTGCTGGCTTCCACCAACTTACTCAGGGTCGTCAGATCGCTTGGGGCAAGATAAACGGTCTGTTGGTTCACATTCAGCGGCAGGGAGACGTGGACGAGTAGAAGGTTGGTAAAAAGGAGTGGCTTCGGCAGCGAAAGCGGCGGGAGGAGCTTGAAAGAATAACAATGATTTTTATTAACATTGACTCGTCATAAAGTAAAGAAGGCAGTGCTCAAAGGTACAGCCAAAAGATAAACAAAATAGCCATTCACTATAGATATTCATGTTTGCCAATACAAGCCAACATGCGTGTCCCCGGAAGCAGTTGAGAAGAAGACTCGATCGTATTATAGCGTTTCCAGACACGTTGTCTTTTCTCTCCCATCAGAGCCTGCCCTGTCGTCCCCACAAAATAATTCAAAACTGAAAAAAACAGACGTTTAATTTTTTAGAGATACGAAATAGGCTGTTTCTAATACTGAGAAGAAGAAGACTCGATCGCTGGAACAATTTGTTTATTCGCCTGACGTTTCGACGTCCGTCGCGGATTCATCATCAGAGACATGACCTGTAGACAGGTCGTCTACAGGATCTGGTGCAGTTGCGGTCAAAGCAACTGTCAGAAAAACTGGCAGACAGGATCTGGTGCAGTTGCGGGCAAAGCAACTATTTCGGAGAAACTGGCAGGTATTCTCAGAGACGCGAGCCGAACACGCGGCAGCAGTGCGGCGAAATGATGCCAATTCTCAAGTTGCGGTTCATTCGACGAGACTCGGCCACACGTTCAAATTGGATGAGGCCGAAATTCTCGTAAGAGGTGAA